GACCTTTTTTTTTAGGTCGACCACTAAATTGATTTTCCGAGACCTGCCAAAGAAATAGAAAGACCATGATTTGGCCAAGTTTTGTGCGCCGCAGGCTAGATTTTGAAATGATTTTCCGAGACCTCCCAAAGAATTAGAAAGACCATGATTCGGCCAAATTTTGTGCGCCGCAGGCTAGTTTTTAGAAAAAAGAGGCCAAAAAGGGTTTCTAGGAACTTTTTGGAAACTTCTGACCAAACACTCGCGTTTTATCGGCGCGCGCTACCCCCCTCAAAATTAATATGAATTGGCGCCAAAGGGGCCCTTCAGCCAAAAATGGATATCTCAAAATAGTTCAAAGGTCTGCAGGGTGTCGAATCTTGATTCAGTGAACTTTTCATGTTGAACGTAATACTTTTGTTAATAGATTTGTTTTTTAAACTTATCAACTTTTAACGTCACACAAGTCGCCATAATAACCCTACAAATCACAATGAAACCTAAATTTGACATGTGGGGGGGTCCTTACGGTACATAAATCAGTGCAAGTTACACAAGTGGAATGAAAAATAGCCCAATATTAAAATTTTCAACAATAAATTAATTTTTCAAAAAATTTTCCACATCGAAAATTACCTCAAACACCTAAATGAGTGGTAGAAACATATTGAGTTTTGGCTGGATACACGGCCTGAGAATGAGAATCTGTTTTCATAATAAGACCCATTTTGACATTTCTAGACTGCCGCAATCAAAATTGGGTAACTTCAGACCGTCGCAATTTAAATTTGGTAGTTTAAGCTTTTTCAAACCGAGCTCAATCGCTGTGATCCAACAAAATATATCCCCCACGCACGCGATCAAAGAATCTCAAAATCAAAATTATTCCCTACCGGTGCGAGCAAAAAAATATGAGCGGACCGGGGCAACTTTTGCGAATGTTATACTTTTTGATTTGCTAGAAACATTGTTCTGAAAACACATTTTTCAGTTTGTTTGTTACCATGTTTTCTGAAACTTGACGCTTACTTACTGCAGTCTCACTTCCTCAAAAACTAGAACAAAGATAATTCCTCAGTTTTTTGTGATAACCTTTCCTCAAAATATCGCTTCTGGACTTTTGTTTAAGATACGTTCCCTCTTGTCACTATCCTTATGTTTTGCGATTGTTCCCATCAATGATTTCAGAGAGACTGCTTCTTGGTTCGATGTTGGTTTTTTCAATTTGTTTTTTTTTGGTGTTGTTTTTTTTTCATTGGGGTGTCCGGTTCTCCCAGGTAGAAAACTATCCTTTTGTACTTTCTTCTGCTTGGGCATTGTTTTCCAGTTTCTGTTTTTGGACTGTTTTGTTTTTCTTGAATCCACTTCTTGCATCTCTTTAGGGTCACTCATCCTTATGTGTTCGTTTTTTGTCTCATGTGCCTCTCATGTCTTTCGGGATTTCAAGTGTGATGGGTGTTTTGTCCAATTGGAGTGAAGTTGTAATTGATGTTTCCATTTTGTTCCGGTCTTGCTCGTCCAATTTAATTTCTTTCGCTCAAGCAGTTTCTCATATTCGTTGGATAGCACCTCTCTCACTCTGATACATTCGCTGATAGGGAAGCTTGTGTTGTCCCCCTCTGGTGTAGATAATGAACTGGGTTATTTGTATCCATTGCTTGTGGTTCGTTGTCTATTTTATCGAATGGCTTTTTTTCTGCCTGAGTTTTTGGAACCGTTGGTTCCTCGCGTGGTTTGTCCATTGGTAACATCGTTTTTTCAAGATTTTTTCTTCTGTACGAGTTGTCTGTATAATGGTGAGGCAGAGAAAACTCTTGCTATTGTTTGGTGTTCCATTCTTCGTTTTTTTAATCTTGGAATATTGAGAATGCGAGTGCAGCTGATTTTGTTTCGCATTTCAGACGGAGTCAGTTGGCTGTCAATCAATTTCAGTGATTCGCGACTAACCATAATTGGATGCCGGTAGCATGGGACTCATTGGGTTTTTGATAATTATTCATTTAATCCCTCTTTTGATCGTGCCAGATGTTTGTTATCGTAGTTAAAGGGTAGTAACCTATCGATCCATCTGGATAACCTGCATTAGACACACTTTGTTTTTTCTGATGCACTCAAGGCACTTAATAGTGCTAGATTGTCCTTAACGATTTTAATGCTTTGCCGTAGAGATAATATTTGAAATGTCCGACTGACCAAAAAATCCACAATAACTCTAACTCCTTAAGAGAGTACTTCTCCTCAAGAGAGTTCAAAAATCTTGACGTCAATGAAACTAGCACCCAACCCTCAGATGAATTTTGTTCTGAGGCCGCCCCTAGGCATGTTTCCGATGCGTCTCACGCTAAATGTGTCAAAAATTGACCAAAAATCAATTTCATGTGAATACTGCCCGGTCCTTGCTCGGTCCCTGGTGTTTTGACCGCATGCACTACATATGGCTAGTAGCACTTCTATGTTGGGCTACGATACTCATTTTTGTTGATCTGTTTTGAATCCAGTGCCAGCTTTATCGATTGATCCTTTTTACCGTAATGACTATTGGGCTAATAAATTGCATTTCGCTGCTTTTCTCCATCTTTTTACATGATTTTGCGCTACCAATTTCTTTTATTTCTTGTTCGACTCTTTCTTGAAGATGAATAGGAACTCTCCTTCCTTTTTGTTGTTTTGAATTGAAACTTTCTACAATTTCCGTTGTTACCACGATGGTTTTTTGGTCATCCGACTTGTGTATATAACCCATTGTATTGTTCTTTGACCCGATTTTGGATCCAATTTGTTCTTTTATTTGATGTTTAGTACCATCTGGTGGCTTGCATTCTCTTGGTGGAGTTTTATACCTATATTCGGCAGAAAATCGACCTGTTAGCGCGCTGGGACTCCTATATAAGAGATATCGCAGAGTTGAATGTCCAACCGCCTAATTCGATTGGCAAAATAAGTCTACCTTATGGTTCTATGTACACCCGGTTACAACAAGCGACATTATAGGATGCGTCCTCTTTTAGAATTCGCTTCCAACTGACTTTTTTCACCGATCGGAGCAGTGTTTCTGCCATCTGTCTGTTGAGGAATGACATTACGCTTCCTGAATCTGCTAAAGCGGTAATTTAAACTCCTATGGTTTTTTAGTTTTTTAGGTCCTCCTCTTAAAATATTGCAGGATTATTTTCCTCGCACCCTTCAGTTGTTGCCAATCAAGAATATAGGTCGTCTATCACTTCCCAGCAATTGGCTGATGTTTACTTTGCAAAGGCCACTGGGTCAACGTTATCTTCTTGTTGCTCCTGTTGTTCTTCCTTGTGCGACAAACGCTCTAAAAATGTTTCCGTCGGCTGTATTTGTAGCAAAATTTGTATTTGGCCGGGCATTTTTGTACGATTTCCTGGCGCAAATTGGTTTCCGCCTTTATAACGTTGCTTGTTGTTCTGTCTGGAGCTGAAATTTCCCGGTAAATTTTGTTGTCCTTGCTGACTTTGGTTTCGTTGGAAATTCGGGGCGTTTCCTTTCCCGTGCCTTTCCTTTGAGGCTGTTTGTTCTTCCGTTGGTTTATCAAACTCACTGGTTCTTAAATTATGTTCTTGCTTACAGATGTTTGGGAATGTCCTTGACTATCGATTTTTTTGTTCGGTTGTCTTCAATACCATTTTCTTGTCTAATTGCGTATTCATACTCATTTTTAGGAGTGCTCGTCTCCGCCAGTAGTTCTTCCGATATTTTTTCTTTCAACATGTGGGCTGTAAACATATCCCAAATCAATTCGTCTTCTCTATCTCCGCTTTAGAGAACAGCTCTACCAATTCCGCATGGAATTGCTCTATTAGTTCAACCTTTTTCTGAATGCGCCAAATGAAATTATAGCGTTCGAAGGCTATTAGTTTTTCAGAAACGATTACGTCCTCGAGTTCTGTCCACAGGTCTATTGTTGAAACGGTTTGGATATCAATGGTGTGAGTTTTGGCTTTTGAGTCGGCGTCGTCCCATGGTACGATGCCGCATAGTACTCCGCTTGCATCGACTTTTAGTTCTCGTTTTCCAAACGTATTTTTTTTTCTTGGTTTCGATATTCGCGGTCACGTTTTTGTAGTCCAACCCATTTGGTTCTTTCTTCTGGTGATTGGGTCGTGTATTTATGCAAAAAAAGTGGAACATTCAGCTCTGATCCGAACCTGATGGCTGCGCCATGTTGTAAGGCACTTCTATCATGTGTTTACTGTACTAGGAATCCGTAGTCGTACGGTTTCTCGGTCTGAGCTATCCTGACTTCCGATCTCATAATAAGTCGTGGCATACACGTCACTGGTATGACCTGAAGGTCACCGTTTATTGTGTATAGCCTTAAAGGTCGATCATAATTAATACTGCACTGCACATAAATAACTTAGTATGGTATTAACAAATAGTATATAACGGATAACAATCACGATCGAAATATCGAAGTTTGATTTAATTTTTAATGTATCCGCGACGTTATATTGTGAGGTGTAATATTTAGAACATTTCTATTGAGCTTTACTGCTCTTCGATACAAGCCCTGAAAACATTGAAAATAATTGGGAATGTGAAAGTGCAAGCGGTTTTTAAAAGTTGATCATATTACCTTTAAGTTTTTATCGAGCTTTTGAACGCATATTTTTGGACGCACTCTTAGTTAAATTGTAGATGGTAAAAGTTTGTTAATAGATAGGATATTATAACAATTAGTTATAGTCACCTCGAACGATCTTTTTTTGGTATTTGTTTGCTTCTTATGCAAATTCAGCATGTTTTGTAGACTGCTTTTGTGGAAAACCAAGAATACTTGTAAAATTCTTGTAAAAATTGAAGTTTCATGGTTTGATGCTACAATTTTTCTCATCTGCGTGTTTTGATATGCGAATGCGACAACGCCCATGTTTAATGACGTTATGTCGCATATATGTCAATCACCTTAGAAGGTATAATTGAACTAAATGGCTACCTTTTCATAAACCAATCCGTTTAGCATATCCAGATTACACGCCAGCTCAGTTTCACCAATAACAAACAAACAGTTCTCTATAAACAAAGAGTTTCTGATAGACTTAATTGGTAAACTTTAAATTTAGTTGTATTCTAAATTCCAAGTTTGTTCTTCAAAATGTCTGAACAGTCGAAATGTGTCAAAATTTTAGGCCTTATCCTCGGTCTTAGTTTCTATGTAGGTGAGGGGCTAAATTATTCTCAGCTTGGCCCGTTTTTCCCGACTGAAGCATCACATCATAAAGGCGTTTCAACTACTTTCATAGGAATCATCACCGGCGCATTTGATGTCGCGAACTTCATCGCCGCGTTTGCTTTAGCTTCATTCATTCAGCCGAAAAACCAGAAATTCTTCTTTTGCACCGGGGCTTTAATTTCGGCTAGTTGCAACGGTCTTTTTGGAATCATGGGTTTTAGTGTGGGAGGAACTCCTTTCATAGTAGTTTGTACCGCAGTTCGTTTTGTAATGGGAATTGGAGCCTCAATGGTATGGTCTACTGGAGTGCCTCTCCTGGTCCCCATGTTTCCCCAATGGGCGGGAAGAATAACAAGTCTAATCGAAACTTCGATCGGTCTCGGTCTGATGGTTGGACCATCGGTCGGAAGCGCTTTATACTCATTGGGTGGTTACACAACTCCTTTTGTGGTCGCTGCTGCCACTCAAATAGTCTTCGCTTTTCTGTGTATTTTGTTCCTTCCGGGAAAACCGCCAAAAAACCATAAAGCCGACTTGTCTCAAATGCCGACTGTGGGATCCGAACACGTAGCCGAAGAAATGGACCCTCCGGGATTTAGTTTTGTTTACTTCTCAACCCGGCTAACTACTATTTGTGCTTGCTTACCTATTGTTTTTCACGCATCTTACATGGGTTTTTTAGACGTTGCCCTGGGTCCTTACTTGCATGATGTTTACGGAGTAACTGGTGAAACTTCCGGATATTATTTCCTTGCGTTTTCTGGAGTCTACGCTTTGTCAGCACCCCTTCTCGGATTTTTAGTTGACAAAGGTCACGCGGGAAGGATGTATTTAATCAGCTGTTTAACAGCCGCTGTCGCTTTCTCTTTTTTGTGGTTACAATCACAGGTTCCAGAGATCGAATCCCGTTGGTGTCTTATTTTATGCCTTATGTTAATTGGTGTATCAAATGCTTCGAGCTTTACTTCAGTCTATTTGATTTTTGAAACAGTTGCCTACAAAATTGGGTTCAAAGTTGAGAGCAAAGTTAAATTGATGACTGCCGCTTTACTTAATGCATCTTTTGCCAGTGGAAGAATGATTGGGCCCATTTTGATTGGAGGATTTTTTATGGACCATTTCGGCTATTATACAAGTTTCCTGTTAGTTAGCTCATTACTTTTATTTTGCACTTTACCCTGTTTTTACGTCTTATCATCGCGACATATGTTGCATCGGATTTATTATCCGGAAGAGGGTGGTGAAAAAGAACATGCCAATTTGGCAGTCAAATACGAATCTTTTGTTGAGAGTGTTTCATTAAGCGGGAAACAGTCAATTGAAGGAACTCAAAATACATCGCATCTTTCTTACTCGGCTAATTTTGTGCACCAATCAGTTAGATGTAACCCAATTTTGTCAATCAAATGAAGTTCCACAATCGAGTTGAATTAATTATTGGAATTACCGTCGCTCTTATTTGATGGCATAAACCGTATGGTAGATGATATACGTCTCAATTTTCACTTTCAATTGTGCTCATTTACAAAGTTTTTATTGAGACACGGGATAGGATGACATTAGAAAAAATTCATCTGCATAAACAAGACAGCTCGTATCACAGCTAGTATGTTGTCTTGCATTTTTTATTGTTTCGGAAGTTTTTGGCACAAAAATTGGTTTGGTTTCAATTATTTAAGATATATGTTTGACACTTTGACACATGCTAGAAAAAATTGTTTGAAAGGAGCTTGTTTTGAAGGCGAGAAAAAAAACATTGCACCGGATGCTCATGACCAGTTATGTTCTCTTTTATTTTTGTCCTGCTTTCTGGTATAAGCTCACAAAAGTGTTTCATGAAAAAATCGTCTAAACAGACACAACTCGTTCAATTTTGTGTGTCGTTTCTTTCCGCAGCATAACCCGGGTCAGATTGTTCACTTCAATTTTTGACCGTGCTCGACCGAAACAAACTTGTGCGACCGTGCTCGACCGAAGTAATATTTGTTTTGACCATGCTTGACCAAATTTGGTTATGTTTTGACTGTGAAACAACATGAGTTATCCAAATTTAAACATTATAATTAATGCTTTTCGGGTAAGTTCTCATGATGCTTTGTTATCAGAATGAAATGATTAGAGTTATTTGCTATTTAACTGCCATGTAGAGATGAACTTTTTGACCTTTTTTGTTTTCCATTTTCATTACGAGGCCAAACTGTGCACTGGATAGGAGCACAATTTTGTGTGTGCATGTTCCTGGATTCCGAGACAAGTCTGTAAACATGTTTAAGTTTTGTCGGAACGATCAAAGAAAATGAAAGAACAAAAAAAGAACAAAGGGAGCGTCCTTGTCGCGGAATCCGCTTACAATGCACAAAATGCACAGTTTGGCCTCGTAATGTTTGCAACTACTGGTTTGCAGTTTGTGTTGAAAATGTTTAAAAAAACATGTTGTTATTTGGGAGAAAATTTTTTTGACTCCGAGTTACAGCGGTTCAATCGGTATTACTCGACCGTGCTCGAGGTAGTTTTCGACCGTGCTTGGCTTAGCTCGAGGTATTTTTCGACAGTGCTCGAGGTATCTTTATACCCTGCTCGATGTATCTTTCAACCGTACTCGAAGTATGTTTTGTCAGAGTTTGAGGTTTGTTTCGAATTTGTGCTCAACCAGAACCCCTGTCTCGATTGTTTGTTTTTAGTCAAGCACTGACTTGTACTCCTCTTTGAATGTCGAAACATTTAGTGAACACCTCGACCCGCGAAAAATTAAATCAAATCGGCATCCCGGAAAACCAGATTGAGCCCATAAAATTTTTCCAAATTTGATCGGATAGTTTCGTTGAAAAAAACTCTTCTAGTTTTTCAATTTTTTTTTAGTTTAAATCCTAATTACTTAAAAATATAAAAACAAAAAACTGTTTTAAAAAAAGTTTTTTGTTTTAGTTGTTTAAATTTAAAAAATCAAAAATCTGTCTAGTGACTGTGCTTTTTGCTGGCATTGTACGACAACACCATTAAAAAAACAGCTTTCTTTTTTTTTCAAAAAAGTCATCAAATAAAAAAAGCCTGATTTGTTTTCTTTAGTTTAAAAACGATTTTAGAAGATAACTCAAATTTTCAAATTCATCTTTTAATATTTGAGATTTTTTTCGTTTTTTTTATCGAAAACTCAAAAAAGCTCACACTCAATCACAAAGACACAAACATGCACTCTGTTTAAGTTTTTCTCAGTTTTAGCCAGAAGAAAAAAAATAAAAAAAAAGATTTTGTATAAAACAGTAAAATAGTGAAAC